CCCGCCGCAGGCCCACAGCCGGACAAGAGCCCCCGCCCAGCTGGGCAGGGGCCAGAGTGGGTGAGGAGTGGAGGGAGGGGTGTCCTGGTGTGGCCCGGTCACTCCGGACGGGGGTCCTGCCGCAGGTCACCCAGGAGAGACTTTCCCAGACACACGTCCAGCTGCCAGCCGATCCCGAGCTCCGGGGCCTGAGGTCTCCTGAGGCCCGGCACTGTCTCAGCCTCAGAGGTCTTCGTCAGCAGGGGACAAGCTGTCCAAAAGAGCAGCTCTGCGGGGACGGTGGTAGAATTCCGGCCATCACAGGGGACAGGCACCCCCCCGGGGCCCTCAGGCCAGAGACACAGACACGGGCTCTTACCCCCACATTCCACAACAGCTTCCACCCACAGGCGGTGCGACTGGCGAGCACACTTGGTCATGCTCCACGGGCCACACCGACACCGTCTCCCTCAGTGGAGTGTGATTTCTTTCATTCCGCAGTGATGGTGTACACGTCTGCATTGATTCCATTCGAGCTCTTTACTTGTTGTCTTGCATGTTGTCTGCTGTCTGCTTGTGCATTGTCTAAATGCACTGTCTGCACTTGTGGTTTTTTTTCCAAGAGACTTTCTGTAAGTATGAATTCCACTGTACCAGTACATACACTGGTTACATATGGCACTAGAGTTCCAGTTCCTGTTCAGAGGAAGGGTCTGTGTGCCTCAGAGCAGACAGTCTGTCTCCCCACTGAAGGAGGAATGAGATCGCATCGCTGGAATACCACTGCGGCCTCAGAGGTCTCAGTGTGAGAGGAAGTGTTAGAAACAGAAGAGGCAACATGTGTACAAACCCTTATCGCAGCACCTCAGCTCTGTGTGCTAAACCCACGTTTCTCAAGTGGCCACAGTGACCTCGTGCACTGGAGACCTGAGCTCTGAGCTCTGAGCTTCCTGGCAGCTCAGAGACACAGCCCTCGTCTGTGAGAGAGCAGATGCAGAGACACAAGGAGTCTGGGCCTGAGAAGAGCTTCACTGAGAGGAAAACGGACATTTCCAGACAGCACTGACTCAGACAGCCACATTCCTCTTTCAGCCCAGTGGCTATTCCTGATGATCCTCGTCTCTCTGCTCCTCCTGAGGAGTCACGTGCAGCAGCACGAGTCTGTTTCAAACTCCCTCAAGCCTGGTGAGGAGTAGGACCCCAGGCCAGAGCCAGACCAGCTGTTTCACACCGCTGGGCACCTGGGTGTGTGATGCAGCTGTGACGTCATGAACATGTATCCATGCATTAGCAAAGGGATACTAGTTTGCACCTCTGCAGTAGCAGAAGTAAACACAGGTTTGTCTTGTTCTCTTCACACGTGTGCTAAATGAAGACCAGGCATCAGTGTGTCTTGCCAGCTGCCTGTAAGTGAGGAAGAGGAGCGCGCTGGTGCTCAGTACTTTCCAACCACAAACACACTAAGCTTTATTCAAAGAGGTCACCTGGAAGTCATCTCAGAGAGGTAGCTTAGAAAGTGACGAGGAGCCCCTTGTCTGTCCCCATCCTGAGACTGTCCCTCCTGTCCTCCCAGCCCTTGAGACGAAGACCCTGCAGCTGTGTCGATGTCCCTCAGCGGTGCTGTGTCCTCCCTCATGCCGTCAGAAAACAGGGTACCAGCTTCAACAACAGGGCTGGGCAGCTTGTTCCACACCCCCACCCCTCTCTTTGTACAGTAGTGCCTCCTGTTCTGATTGAAGGAGCTCATCCAGCTGTGTCTGGTGAGAAGCCAGAATATTGGCTTCAACAACAGGGTTCGGCGACTTGTTCCACCCCCCCACCCGCAGAGTTTCTGCGGAGCTCAGAACCCCCTCAGGAAACCTCGTGCTCCATCCCTTGCAGGATGTGTCTGTACAGCGACCGTTCTCTGTTGTTCTCGCAACCATTAACCCACTAAATGTCAGCAGACGTCACAGGAAGTAAGACGAAGTAACCCATTAAACCACTTTAATGTCACCGGAAGCAAGAGAGCAGAAGCCCAGGTAGTGGCCAGTGCTGAGGTGGGGGTTTCCTGCCGGGGGGCTATTTAACAGCCTCTGTTGAGCCCCTGCTAACAGACACATCCCTGCTGGGAAGAGGAGACTCAGACGGATCCCGGACGAGCTGCAGGTAGGGAGCGTCCCGTCTCTGCGAGTGTCCGCATGCTGCACAGAGCACACCACCAGCACCACAGCCGAGAGAGTCACTCCAGCAGTGAGAGTGAGACACTGGACTCTTCCGATGAGGTTTACGAACCCTGTGCAGGTCTCTGATGAGGCCCGAGGTGAACGAGTCCGAGAAGGGCCAGGCAGGGGAGCAGTCGATCGTAACATGGACATCCTGCTGTATGTACTGGTGGGACAATCTTCAGAAGAGCAGGAGACAGTCTTGTGCAGATTTAGAATTGAATAAGATCAGCACACAAAACAATGAAGTGTTGGGTGAGAACAGCCAAGCGGCTAAAGTTTTTACACCTTCTTATTCTCTGTAGTCTCAGTGTATTCCATAGCAGTTTG